TAAGTGCCCGAGTTTTAATTATAAAATACTGACAGAGCGCCAAGAACAAAATAAAATAAAAATGAATCTATATCTATATCACCAACTAATTATTGTAATAATATACACATTATCATTATTTATTAGCTTACATTTAGTTAAGAAAATAATTAAAATAGTTAATATCATCAGTTGCATAATTACAAAGAATTAAATATTTAATACGCCAGTCGTTGTGTTAATGAATAGTACATTATCATCATAAAATAATGATAATGTCGCACACACATGGATGAGTAATGTCACAATCTACGGTTATATTATGATTAAAAGCAGCATTTTACTCCATTATTTATAATACCCTTTCGACACATACAACAGCGCTCAGTCACTCACCCAATGTCATTTTTTAAATATTTTACATTTGTTGCTCATTTTCTTTTATAAACATACATTAACGAAAATCAATTAATTATAACACACTTTTTTTATTATTTCAATATTATTTAATACACCTCTCCCGCCTTATGCTCAGCACATATTAAGTTGAACCGTGCAAGATATTTTTGAATCAGATATTCTACACAGAGTAAGTACGAATTTACTAAAACATCCTTCCGTATTTGTTTACTTATATTCTAAAATAATGGAAAACCCTAACCTTCCATACTTGATGGCTCAGTGGAAGTTCTCTTATTTTCCGATGACGCAAAGATATTCTCAATAGTTAGATCTCCTGAAAATACTCTAAATTTACTATCGAATTTGGATAGGTTTGCAATTTGGAGCCGTTTTAATCGCTATACCCTTAAACATAAGTAAACGTAGTGTTATTACTTTTTCTCGATTAGATAATGCGATTTCTTATAATTATAAAATTGGTAACTGTGTCATAATGCGTGTCAATTCTGTTAGGGACCTAGGACTTTTTATCGAAAACAATATGTCTTTTTCAATACATATTAAAACCATAATTAAAAAAGCCTTTAAAATGTTAGGGTTCATTAATAGAAGTACGAACAATTTTAAAAATCTTTATACATTTTAAACATTATTCTTTTATCTTGTCAGATCTCATCTTGAGTTTGGCTCTTTAGTCTGGTCTCCAAGTTATTCTTCATATAAAGGGGCGATTGAAAAAGTTCAGTATAAATTTTTAAAACTTATATGTTATAAATTGAATATACCTATTACAACCAGTTTGTAAAACTCGGTTTTCGAATTTACAAGTTGTAAACTAAGAAGGAATGTTGCAGATATTAGGTTACTCTTATTTGATTTACTGAACGGTCTTATATATTGATTCCCCGGAATTGCTATCTAAGATTGGTTTTAAAACACCAAATCGCTATTTAAGAAAATCGAATTTGTTTCACGTACCTATTTTATAAAAACAACTACAGTTTCGCATCTTTTTTCCCTAGAGCTCTCTCATTATGTAATGCCATAGCCGATCACATAGATTTCTTCTTTATGTCACGTGATTTATTTAAGCAAAACGTATACTTAGGTTTTAAATCTAGCAATAAATTAAATACCATGTTTATTATTATTATTTAGATTAAGGTAAATATTAAAGTTGAAATGTGTTAACAATCAGTGTATAATATTAAATGTTATAAATTAATTCATGTCATAAATTATCAATTAATTATTATTCACTATTAGGTATTAATACTATTTTATTTTATTTTACTCATATTCTATTATTATTATTATTATTATTATTATTATTATCCTAATTATTGTTAACTCTTATATTGTCATATTGAAAMTTTATACTTTCTGTACTATTAATACCAAAGGGTACCTACCCGTTTATAATGTATAAATAAATAAATTAAATATAAAAATTAAAATAAATATTTTCTGATAAACAAATCTGAAGAAAAAGCACATATGTATATTAAAATTTTGTTAAGGATGTATAATTTATTTATTTGAAAAAATACATAATATGTTTCTATAGAATAATTTTTTAATAAACAAATTAATAAAATATTCTACGTTAACAATAAAAATATAATAAATTCATTCAAACAATATTTATCACATAATTTTAATTAGTTTTTTTGGCGAACCATCACTTTTATGCCTATTAATACAACCAAATTTAATAACTTAATTGTTCTCGAAATAAAATTCTCTAGGATTAAATCATCATGGATTCATAAATTAAAGAAAGACGAAAATGAAAGAATTTATGATCACAGATCATGCAGCTCAAACTTTCTCAGAAATCAGAATCGATAAAATAAAAATGCAATTAACTTAAATTAATAACCCAACAGCAGAATTAAATAAAATAATATATCGATGATATATTGAAATCAAAGAATCAAAACACATCATTTAAAAATCACTCGTTATGCCAGGAAACAATTTTAACCATACAAACAATAAGTATGATAAATATGTGGTTTAAACAATCATGAAAAAAAATAATTGTTTAAAAAAATAAATACAGCTTTATTAAATGACAACTGTGTGACACCAGGAAACATAGATTTAAAATAACAATTAAATACAAAAGACAATATTCAATAATATACATAAAAAAATCATTTATTCATAATAAAATCATGAAAAGACTGTTTTTGCAAACACGCGACTATTATTAAATGTAAATTATATGAGAGAGTAGGCCATACGGCAAAAGCAAAAAAAAATATTTAAACTACATTTCGATTCAAAACCTTAGACCCTTTAAGTCAGCCAAACTTATAAATAAAATAACATAAAAATAGTTTCTAATAACCCGAACACACTATATTCACATTTATAATAAACATTTTTTAACCTTTTTATAATTACCGGAGTAAATAATATATGCTGATTAAATCATGATAATTTTACCAAACGAGCAAACCATTTTAAATAAAAAATTAACTTAGTAGGACATTATTGATAATCAACCACTGACGGTTTTAGGTTTAATACATGTTAAACTACACATTGATAATTGCGGATGATATACTAATGTTTTAACATACATTATATATATAGTCAGACCTTTCGAGCACATAAATAATAGGGAACAATTTCTGAACTGAAAATAATGCTTATATACATCATGGAAATAAAGTAATGACTTTTAATAACAATATCAAAACTAAGTTAACCTCTCCATATATTACTATAAATAACTATAATGAGATACATCCAAAATATAAAAAAACTACAATAAATAAAATATTTTAGAAACCTTACAAGAATACGATTTCACACACTTCATTTTAGCTGATTTGAAAATGAGCAAAGTGTTGGGCAGCAGATATTTGTAAAGATTTTTTGACAGATCTTTTGATATAAATCTAAATGTCGGTGATATAGCCATTAAAAATTTATAACCAACAATAAACTTATTGACTATTACTAAACAGTATCATTATCAGAGATTTCAATACAATGATATATAAACTGCAATCACTAATATATAAAATATAAACAAAGAATTCTACAAAATAAAATATTATAAATTTGGAATAACCAAATTATATACGGATCTGGGATCCGGGATCTACGGATCATACTCTTAGTACATTAATGAATTTCAAAATAAAATTTTATCATATCATACTAATTAATTAATTAATTATTCATTTGATATCATCCTGTTCTTATATTTTTCACCAATTACATTATTCATTATTATTAGTAACTGTAATTTATAATTTATGATTAGATAATATGCTAAAACATTTTATTTTTAATAAATATAAAAGAAAAAACTTTTCTCCATCGCGGCACATTATTATTAGTTATTACAAGCCACGGTATTCTTTGAATGAATATTATCCAAATATAAATATAATCATTTTATAATTTAAGTTACTTAAATAAATTCAATTTTTTGCCGCACATCTAACAAATTTCACGGCACACCCATTTGGAAAACACTGCTCAAGAGAATGGTTTTCAGGAATAATAATTTATTCAGAAAATGTTAATTTAATAATTTAGAGTGAATATAAATTAAATAGGTCATTAAAAAATAATTATGTCATATTCGTACTTATTATTGTTATTTTTTTTACCTAATCATTTTACATAGTATATAGCCAGAGATGTCTTAATGATTTATTGTTGACACTAATGATAGTACGCGCAAGTGGTACATTTTTGTAGTACCTCAATCGATCGTGAGTCAAACAATAAGTTTGTACGTACTCAGTACACATTTAATTAATTTAATTTGTCTAATAACTACCCAAACTAACTAAAAAATTGTATTTTCCAGAATATTTTATTATTTGAAAACTGCAAAAAGTTTAAATGGATACGAATGGATCAAATGTAAAACCAGGTATGATATTTTAATAAGAAAAAAATATATAATTTTAGAAAAAAAACTGAAATATACTACCTGATAAATTAACAAATACAATTTCCATTGGTTTTAAATACTTTAAATTTTGATTAAATTTATATTAATGTTATTTTTAATATTCACTAAAGATAACTTTATTAACTAAGGAAAAAATAATTTTAAACATCTTATTACTTATGTTTTTTTCAACATAATTCACCTCGATATATCCATTAGTCGGTAATCAAAGTCAAGAACAAGTTATTTAGCATCAACTAAGTGTATTTCAACCATCTTTTCAAGTGGTAGATACTAAATTAATTCATAATTAAAATTGTTTAAGAGGATGCCACACTCACATGCTTTGTCTCCGTCTTACAAGTGCGTAACATGGTAAATTTTACGCTCAGAAGATCACGTTTAATTCCGTTAGCTTAAAATTTATAGCGAGTAAGTAAGTTGACCTTTTATAAAAATTAAAGGTAACATTATCATGGAGGGTTTCTCATAGACTTATTATATTTAATTTTAAAGCGAATTATGAGCATTTTAAAATTGTACATTTTTTCTATATCTTAAAAAACTATGAGAGGTCAACTCACTCTAAATTTTTAATTAGCGGAGCTAAACGCGATTTGCTGAGCGTAAAATTTGCCATGTTACGCACTTGTAAGACGGAGATAAAACATGCGAATGTAGCGTCTTCTTGACACTAAAAACTCAAAACAACTTATTCAAGGAATGTATATATCATGCATTTTCTGATGAATATTTTTAATCACCACATAAATCAATTGCTCGTTATTTTTTTAAATTTAACAGATGGTTGCATGCCTATTCCTCAAGCTATACCTCAAAATTACCCAAATGGACTCCAGTTTCTTTCAACAATTGATAAGTTATTTATTAAACAGATAGTGAATCCAATAGAAGGTAAAAAGTTTAAAAGTTTGAAATATTTTATCATCTATTGATATCATTCTTTTAATCTCTTAAATATACATAAACAGAATTAATAATTGTTTACTTAGTCCATTTTTATGTGTATATTTGGACGCCGTAAGTCGAATAAGGCTACAAAAGAGTTTTGTGAAGCAAAAGTTTACACGTAAACATGTTTAAATGAATGTGAGATACAAAGAAATTATAAGAACTTAAATTTTTTATGGTAATATTGTACTATCTAGAAATTAATTTGATTTTATCTGAACCAATGTACAATCAATATGACGCAAAAATCTTAGTGATGATTATTAAATCGGTTTGGAAAAGCATATTTCTAGTATATCTGCTCTTTTTCATTAGAATATTGTGTTATCATAAAATTTATCAATATAACTGTAAAATCTTCTTGATGTTTGAAAATGTTCCTATTCTATTATTTTACACTAATTTATAATTATAATTGTTTTATGTTTTTTATATATATTATTATAGCCTTATTAGGGTTTGAGGTCAATAACAAGTATGAAATTAAAAATAGCGCTGGTCAAAAAGTATTTTATGCTCTAGAAGATACTGATTGTTGTACACGAAATTGTTTTGGACCAATACGACCATTTGAAATAAAAATCTTGGATAACTACAATAACGAAGTTATTCATTTATCAAGGTCTTTAGCATGCCAATCATGCCTTTTTCCTTGTTGTTTACAGGTATGATAATTTATAATTTCTGGAATTATTTATATAGTAATAAAGTAGATACCGCACGGATAGAAAAAAAAATGTAAACAAAACACTGCTTATGTTTGAAAAAATTTAATTAGTCGCTTTTATAATAGGGATTTTACTATATAGGTAAATATATTTTTTTAATAAAAACGTTGGTTTTTTAACAACTTGAAACCATGTAAAAAAATATTTTGAAAAAAGTAAATACTTTTCGAGATAATTAGTGTACCCACTTAAAAGAATCACCCTGTATAAGATTTCTTACAAGTTTGACAATCAATGACAATCACAACAAAAATGTCCTCCAGAAATTCAAATTAAATTTTTATGAGCGTTTGAAATTAAATTTTTACAACATTGGATTTTCACCAGATTTATCATTTAGTGATTTTCTTATTTTGGTGTAACTCTTAAAGTCTAAAACAAATGACCGCAGATACTTGAAATTTTCACTGAATGTTTATATAGGAATTTTCTATATTTGATGACATTTAAAAAATACTTTGATTTGTTTTGAGCTGATTACTGACATTTCAATTTTTCAACTTATTTGGTTTTTTTTTTTTTCTATAAATATCGATAAAAATGTATTTGTTGGATAGAAAAGCTTGATAATTTAATAAAAGGCTCCTAACCCATTGTTACAATAACAGTTGAAAAATATTAAAAATACATAGGTACGATTTTTTTTTTTATAAGCTACATTTAAAGTTCAAATTTTGATTAACTACGTAAAAATTACGGCAATGTTCAAATTATCTTAGATATAGAAATTCATTAATGTTTTCTTTTTAAATCTAAGCTTTGAAAATTTAATACAAGGCTCCAAAAATATTTTTAAAATAGCAGTTGAAAAATAAAAAGATATATGATCATAATTTTTTTTATAAGCATTCAAAGTTTGAATTTTGACAACATACGTAAAAATCACAACAATTCGCAAATTATTTTAAGCTGGAAATTCATAAAAATTTTTCTGTTTAAATCTAAGATTTGATAATTTTAATAATCTATAATATATCCTAGTCAGATAAACCGTCTCCACTCAGTATCGTTTTTCGCATACAATGATATATCATTAGATTCAAATTTAATTCCATCCATTACAGTAACCCACTTTTAACCTACTGTACAGCAGAGCGACATCCACGACGTACCCGCTTTTTTTTTGTAATTCAAAAAATAGGTAATAGTCATAGAAATTTGACTTTTTATCAAATTATATGATAAAATAATACTAATTATATATTTTTAATTTATGTATTTAAAACTGTATATCTAACAGAGAATTGAAGTATTTTCACCACCTGGGTGTTTGGTTGGAGTTGTGGAACAAGATTGGTCAATTTTAAAACCGAAATTCACCATTCGTAATGCAGYTAATGAAGAAGTACTAAAAATCAAAGGACCAACATGTACATTTAGTATGTGCGGAAGTGATGTTAAATTTAAAGTAATTTTTAAAATTTTTAATCCAACTAACTAAATTATTTTTATTAACTCTAACATTGAGTATGAGGATTTAATATTTTAATTTCATAATAATAATGTTTTTTTTTCAGATATTATCTAAAGACAAAACCGCTGTAATTGGCTGTATATCTAAACAATGGTCTGGACTCTTAAGGGAACTATTTACTGATGCCGATTTCTTTGGTATTTMTTTTCCTATGGATCTTGATGAACGTATGAAAGCTGTCATGCTTGGAGCTTGTTTTTTGATTGTAAGTCAAATGTGTATTAATATCTTGAAATTTTCATTACTAATTGATTATTACCTAATATTTATAGGATTTCATGTTTTATGAGCATTAGTCATACCCGTTTCATCTGTTGTGAGTAGAAGCATTTAATCTGAGATTACTCTTGATATTCTTGTACGGATGGTCCGGATGGGGCATAAAATAATTAAGAATTTGAAATTGAAAAGTACAATTCAAGCAAAATGTACATGTTCATTTAATTTCACACATGTTTTACTTTTTCTTTTAATATCTTTTGATTGTCATAAAAATATTAACTCGTTAATACAGATTCTATAGTCTCCGTCATAAATATTTATTTAGAATGATTGTGTTAATAAATAAACAATTAAATTTAAAACTTTTAACTTTACTAATACTTAATTCAACTTAGCTACCTTTATATAAGCACCCAAATACTATTATAACTGTTTTACTAATATTATTAATAAATCACTTTTTTTGTTGTAGTTAAAAAATGTAATAATAAACATCAAATTTGAATTGTTTTTTTTTWAAATCTATTATATTAGCTTAAATGTTATTCTGAAATTGATTTAATTGCACAATTATTTGTTATTGTCTACATTATGTACTTACTAGCTGAATCCGTGCATTAATTTGTAGGCCATTAAAAAACCTACCTCTTAAATGTCTCAAACTGTATGTTAAATTCGTTACCTGTGATCATGCTAGCAGTGTTTTTTTTATACACAATACACATAGATAGATAATAGTTTAAATATACCAAGTAATAATATTACGCTGAAAGTCAATTTAGTTTATTATTTTGTAATTTTATTCGTTTTATGGAGAAATGTTTAACAATTCACTTGTAGCAATTGTCCTTGTGCTTTGTTGATGATCATTGCAAAGGTGAGTCACACCGGAAACAGCAAACGTTTGAATTCAAAAAGAATATTTGTTGGAATCATTGGGATGTGTGGCAACAGTACATCTTCGCCTTTGAACTTTCCGTTTAAAATTATAGCTTAGATAATGTTCTTCATCAAGTTTTCACTGAAAGCCTGGTACCGTTTCAGAGTCGTGGTGAATTTATGTTTCGTAGAAGAATGATGGGCACTCCAAATTTCAATGTTGGGGGAATGTCTGTCAAATCAAATGAATTTAAATATTTAGTTGGAAAATTGACAACTTCGTCTTTATTACGGTATTACGATATCGATGGGCTGCTACGTAATCGTTTCGCCTGGAATTTCGTTTAGAATGGTGTTAATACTTGTAGGTATTTACACTAATATAGCCCGTACAATAAGCCACCGACGATTTCAGTAATTTTGTGGTAGATTTGGGAAAACTTTGTCAATTAACTCATTGATTGTTACTGTTATTTTACAGAAATTAGTTGGGAATGTGATGCATTGTGTTGATTCATCGATATAGCTAATTTACGATTCCCCATTTCTAGCGATTGTTTTGCGAAATCGGTATAATTCCCAATCTTGCATCTCGTGGCCCAGTTTTTTTCAGATGAACTGAATCAAACTTGACGTTCTCTGGCGGTTCCCAATCTTGCATTTCTTTGCTCTATTGTTTCTGAAGCTCGTATTGGCATTTTTTTTTCGTGCTTGAGGCGTAGAACTACCAATTGATGTTTTTTTTTTTTTTTTTTTTTGTGATAGAAATGGCGTTATTATATAAAAAAAAAAATACAAGATATCAATAAAAACTAATAATGCCATAGACGCATGTGTCATGGAAACAAATAATAAAAGATTTAAGGATTATGATTTCATGCGCTCTAATAGCAACCATTACTAATAGTAACCATCACKTATTAGTGAATTTTCATTGTAATTCTCAAAATGTCTGTTTGAGTACCTCCCAGAGTTGGGCCTATCACTTTGTTAGGTTAGTTGCTATCTAACTAACTTAGTTTATTTTCTGCCCATAGGTCTTATTTGTCTCTGTACCAAATTTTGTCGCAATCGGTCCAGCGGTTTAGGAATGCATGAAATACAAACAAACAGACAGACAATAATTAATTTTTAATTTTTTGAAGATATGGAAATGACAATAGCAATTTAACCCGTAACGTTCCAATAAAAATATTTCCATCACTAGTACCTACGTGATACCGTTTGAAAGCCATCTATACGCCTATGTACCAAAATTGCCTATATACTACGCCGGTCAACATTTACTAGTGAAACAATTTATTACATTTTCAYATGTATATGTTATAATATGTCTGGGTTCGTTCAATACATTTGTGTGACATCGAAAGCCTCATCATTACGTCGCTGTGTTAAGGCTGGGAGAGTAAAATTTTGTTATATTCTGACCAATTTCATATTATAGTTGTCATGACCAACCGAACTCTAACAAATGTTATAAATTTAGGTTGCCCTTAGAAACTAAAGATTAATTAGAACAGAATTTCGTTACTATAGCAACCTCATTATACTTTTTAGATTCTAATAAGAGTTATGATTATAATTTATAGTTATATTAATAAATTATTACTTTCTACGTCTAATGAAATCAGTGGTCACATGTCAAATACATAAACCGATGTATGTGGATACTTTCTATATTTTTCATTTAACTTTGATGTATTTATTATACTTTGGAAATTTTTAGGTTTAGATTTTATATCATAAGATATGTATTTTTAGTTTAAAAATAGATCAAAAACTAACATAAATATAATTTTATATGGACATCATTTAAAGTGAGGACGATTTATTAGTTTAATAAATTTGTAAGTAAGCACTAAGAACCTACTTAAAACTAAAGACTATTTTTAAGGTACCTATTTACCTCAAAAAAAAAAAAAAAAATCGGTGAGTTGGTAATAAACTAAAACTAACTAATAAAAATATATTACGTTTAATTTACTGTACAATATCTATAAAAGTGCAGGTTTTATGTAGTTTTTAATCATAGCTAATGATAATACTATATATTACAAACTATTTAGCTAATTGTACCATTTAACATTTCTGGAAACATGGTAATGTTGATATTTTGATAATGAGATTTCTGTAGTCTGAATGCGAGCGATTGAGTACAATGGAAGGATGAAACAAGTACAATACATATAATCATCGTGCTATAATTGTACTACCTTCCTACAATGAATTGGAACTATTTAAAAATATTCTGTGACATAAGTAATTTAATGATAATTTTAGTTGGAATAAGTAAAAAATAATATTTTATACGATTTGATCATATGTCCATCGGTGACAGAAAAAAAAATGTTCTACATGTCATCTATTAAAACGCTTATACTTATATATTTTTAAAGTCGTCTTAGCTAAGCACTATATTATTTATATATTATTATATTATAAATAAACGTGTAATAATAAGTATTTATGTTTTTTTCAATTAAACTACATTAATTAAGTAATATTTATAAATTATTTTAACGATATTTTTTAAGATTGTTTTTACCTTGAAACCTTGCTATTTATTTTGCTGTGTTGTATTTAAGGGTTTCCATTGATATACGATCTGCTGATCTGCAATATATTTATACATTAACTAAAGGTGTACCTACTTTTTAATTCAAAATATTGGAACTTCACTTTGTTGTAATATAGCGGTTCTCAAATTTATTTTTCGGGTACCACTTAAGTATGTTATCAATCAGTCACGTACCACTAATTATTAAAAATTGAACCATAAAAACTTTACATAGTTAAATACCATTTATTTTAAATAAAAAGGTAGTCAAATACTATGATAAAATTATTATTTATTTATTAATACAAATTTATTAGTGTTCTTAAATTAATATATGAATTTAATAACAAATATTTGATGAGCTTGCTACTCTCAGAATTTCATTTTCATTTTTCATTTTTCATTTTTCATTTTTCATTCTACCACCATACCAGTCTTTCGCGTATCAACATCGGTACACGTATTACAGTTTAAGAATCACTGTTGTAATAAATAAAATATGTATTATAATAATCAATACAAAAATATCAAAATATCAAAAAACGTGAATTGTTCATATATTATATACATATATAATGGTTGGACCTAAGTCGTTTTTAAAAACAATAATAGGTAGTTCGGGTTTGATTATAAATTATGAGAAAATAAATGAAATAGAGAAATTAGTCTCTAACGGGAAATGTTTRGAGCTAAAAAACAGTAGGTACACTCTAGTAGTTTAGTARGTAGTACGTACACTTTGATAAATGTATTTTAAATTGTTTTTGACGTTCTAGAGTGAGCCACCGTTTAAGAACGAGTCAATATAATATCACGACTGGCTTCATACAATATCAATATTTTTTTTATATTGATTAGATGAGCGTGTTAGGACTCTAAGACCATACGTTTTTATCCTTGAACATTTTACATGCTAAGGTATGTACATCTGAGAGGGTAGTAAACGACATAGAACATAAGATTAGATAAGAAAGTGTATATTATATAATATAATAAACGCAAAAAACCACTGAATCACGTACATTTATTCAATCCAGTCAAGTTAACCTCATCTCTATGACTTTTWGATGACAAAAATGGCTGAGTAAAATCAGGGGAAACAATATGTTTTATTATACCCATAAATATAAAACAAAATTTAAGAATTTAAGAAGATWACTGTTAAGCTATTTAGCTATAGTATAGAAAATTTTACATTTTTTGTGATATGAGAAAATTGTATAAGTACTTATTTTTTCAYAACTTATATCATTTTACTAATCTTTAAATAAATGTCTACGAATAATTGAATAATAACAATTACATTACTAAGATTAATTTCTATTTTTTTTTCTTTAACCTATTTGATTTGTAAATAGAATCATATATTACTTCCAGTTGTCGGATATGACTATGATATACTATGAATATTAMTAAATAAACTATATTATTTAAAGAAGCAATTTAAAAAAAAATTTATTTCACTAAAAAAAAAAAATTAAAAACGTTGACCTTAATTTAAAATAAGTAACTTCAACCAAAGTTAAAAGTTAAATATTTAGTACCTTAACAGTTATCTGATTGAATTGGATATGCAATTTTCAAAATTTGAATACCTTAATTTACAAAGAAGTTTTATTGTTTTAGTTAATATAATAATTGAATAATGTATAAAATTAATTTACAAAGAAGTTTTATTGTTTTAGTTAATATAATAATTGAATAATGTATAAAACTACAAAATAATATAACACTTGTGATTCACATTAATAACTTGCTATTTTTTAAGTTGATAAATTACATATTTCTTATTATAAAACTTCAAATAAATTAATGAACTTATATTTATTATTATTTAATAAAATATGACTAACAAAACAAAAAAATTATACTGTAATAAGCATTTAAAAACAAGGAATTGAAAGCCTTAGTGATATAATTAAATAAGTGCACGTTTTAAACATTTT